TGAGTAGGGAAGGACAAAAGAGAGGAAAAGCAAATGACAGTAAATCGAAAGCCAAAAAATGTAGCCTTTACCAAACCCGTGTTGAAGCTCAAAGGACATAAAAGAAACCTCTGAGTGGATTTTGTTATTTAAGAGACCACTAAAAGCACCCAAGATTGGATAGAGGAAGGTAAAATGAACCACAATCCCACAAACAAGCTGAGTGAAAGGACACCAAATACTAAAGAGGCCAAGATGTGACAACTAGACAGACTATTCTGATCCGGAATTTCAACCTGAGCTCAGTTAACTAAATAGTGTTACCTACGCTTGTACACAAAAGTTAGAAGTAATTCTATCATTAACCTCCCTCTCCGGCGTGAACGATGGTGGGCCAGGTAAGGAATGGGATGCCGTGTGCCAGAGCTACAGTAAGTAAACATGCTCTGCTGGAGCCCCCACCCCCTCCTTCCTCCAGGTGGTGGCTGGAAAAGCAAGGAGCACCATCTGTCAGAGCCACCCACTCTTCTGTCTAACATACCTTCCCAGTTGCAGAGTAAAACATACCCGTCCCAATTTCCTAAAATATGGATTGTCAATAGCATTCATAATGTAGATGGCCTAAACTGAAAGATCAATAGCTGCATGATTTTTAATGGCCTTGACAATTGTACATTCAAGCAAAGTTTTATAGTTGTCTGCTCTCCTCACCGTCTTTATTTTCCTATGTGGTTCTGCTGTCAACGGTCGCAACCCCACCGCCGGGCCCTGGCTATCCTCTCTCTGGCTTTCTCTGCCTGGTGCCTCCCAGATCAGTAGGTCTTTCTCCACTGGTTTCTCCAGCTTCTCATCTTAGAGACGCTCTTGCTTACTTTTATTTTTTTCTTTCTTTTAACCTTGGTGGTAAGTGGTGTCATAACATTATTATTCTTTAAATATATATATGTGTGTGTGTGTGTTTTAGTCCATTCAAATTGCTGTAACAAAACTACCGTAAACTAGGTGACTTGAACAACAAACATTTATTTCTCGCGATTCTAAAGGCTGGAAAATCCAAGATCAAGAAGCCAGCAGATGCAGCCGCTGGCGAGGGCTCACTTTCCGAGGGCCGTTTGCTCCTGTCCTCACGTGGCGGAGCAAGGGGAGCAGCTCCCCGAGGTCTCTTCCCCAAACCCTGTCTGCTCGTACCAGCCCACTGAGGGCTAGAATTGCAACGTGAGCTTTAGGGCGACACATTCAATTCATAAAAATAATACATTAAGCAATATATTTTTTCAAAAGAATGCAGTATTGTCAAATATGGAGAAACAGGCCTATGTGGACAGGCCTGACAGAATATTATCTTGGTATAACATCAGACAAAAGTACACTGTACAAAGGATTGTATTTAAAATAACTGACTGGACAGTGTGGGCACTGACCACTGGGCGAAGGGGGGAAAACTGGGACAACTGTAACAGAATAACAATACAAAATTTTTTAAATATTATATGTTTATCTACATAGATGGCATCATCTGGATGAGTGTTTCTAAAACTTTCTTTTTGCAACTGGACATGTCGTCTAGCTGATTTAACATCTACATAACATATCCATGATTTATTTATTCATTCTACTACTGATGAATATTTAGAGATCAAACTTTACTATTTCAAAAAATCTGCAGCAAACAGGCTTCTGCATATCTCCTTGTGCACATAGGTTAAGCCTGTCTAAGGTTTACACCTACACTTACGTTCTCAATGATCTTCTTGCTTCCTTTCAGAATGGTCCCATTCAGCCCTCCTGTCCACCCCAACCACGTTAGGATGCTGCCGACTATGCCTCCCTTAAAAAATGCAAACACCATCAGGACAGGACTTGTGTTTGCCTTGTTCTGTTGCATGCTTCCAATGCTTAGAACTGTTCCAGCACATAGTAGCCCCCAACAGAAGTATTTGCTAAATAAACAAATGAGTGATGAGTGGCTGAATGAGATTAGAAGTTAAAGACATTATCTCAGTTTCTTACAATTCAGAAGCTCTGTGAAGCTCTGCTTTCACACTGTACTGGCAAAGTCCCTAGGCACCCTGAAGGCCCATGGGACTCGATGGGGACTCAATGAGTTAAGTTTGCAACACTGATTTGGCCTGATCTTGCAGAGAGGTTTCCTACACCATTGCAAAAAAATGGTTCTATTACAGAGACCACCAAAACCCGCTAAACCAAAGGTCCTACACCACAACACAGTGAAATATGCCGAACTATCCCCACTCAGCCTCCCCAGAGAAATTCATCCTGGTAAGCCTTTGCTGATCAACGTGTCTGCATTTCTGCACACTAGCCAGTGATTTGCAGTGAGAGAACCATTTCTTCCTCTCTGTTTGAGTCCCTATTGATTCTGTACTTGAGGAGGAATCTAAGTGCTTTCCAAATACCAAATGTTCCATATGGTAGTGTTATTAGCATTCTCACTACCGTGACGTTTGGCCTTTCTACTACACTCAGGGGCTGCCTCGCCGGAGTTTGGCAGAACATTACGAACTCCTTTGCTGACCTATATTGGCTGACACATTTGTTGTCATGTCTCCTGTTATGAAATTATTACTTTTGTTCAAATAACATATGTATGTGGGTAAATACAAGTTTATTTTCTTATTCATCCTCACAATCACTAAGAGAATATTTATGACCCATTAAAGAGGAATTCTTAAGCTCAACTGGTTAATAAGGAATTCAGGTGTTCCTCCTGTTTTGGAAAATATGGAGCTGCTCAAATTAAACTGGAAATGAATGCAGCACCTACGTACATAAGAAGTGCAGCATGTCCAGTAAAGAGCATTAGCTGAAGTCAGATAAGTCATCTTGTGTTTGTCTCCTTAATACCAAGTCATTCTGTGGCCCTTTTTCCTTCTACTTTTTGACCTTACGATGCAGCTCTTGGTGAAGGGACTTAAAACCCCACCATTATTTTCCCCTTTTGTTTATGTAGGATAAAGCATACGCTTCCTAAAAGACTGGGGTCTCTCATTCTATTCTCTCTTTCACTTATTCAACGAAAGGAAGCTCCTTCAGTAACGGGGAAAGGAGATGAGGCTAGTAGGGCAGCTCATGTAGGGAGACGGTTAGACTCTCCACATGCAGCTAGAGAGGTCAGAAAGCTTGCCTGACCCCAGGCACCGGCTGGACCTCGGGAGCAAGACAGCGGGGTTGTGATCAGGTTCTGCTCTCGCAGGGCGGCTGCTCTGAGGGTCCCAGCAGATGACAACTGGGATAAATGGGTCTCTGACTTGCAGACTTTAGTCAGGCAGTTTCTCCGGGACTAAAATTTCACCAATAATCCACATTAAAGAAATCAGGATATATATTAAACTTTCTTGGATAACAGGAGGATGAAAACAAAGAAGAAGGGGAAAAATGTAATTGGGATTAAACTATAGTGAGAATCATACTTTGCTTTCTTTTTTTTTTTTTGCTTCTCTAATGACCCTTTTCTCTGATCATCAGATCATCTTTCAAAATAGGATTTATAACAATTTTCTATGAAATTGATATGAGGATTATATAAATTGTATAAACTTAGACATCAAGAGGGAACATTAACTTGTCTGACATCACACCTCAACAAAACAGCAGAGCTGGAATCTGAACGCAGGCAGTCAGGAGCCCTGCCATCTTCTAATGTGATCTACAGACTCTGATTAATATGGTGCCACCACGATTATGTCTAATCATGCTCCCAATGTTCTGTGTGTATGTGTGTATACATATATATGTGTGTATAGGTATACACATGTCTATGTGTACATACATGTATACACATATCCACATACTTTAACTAACAAGCAGTACTACTTCAGACCCATGTTTAGTTAAATACAGGGCTATTTATTAAATACCTTTTTATTCTTATCAAAGAAAGAAAAACTATGTTTTCCAGCAAAAAAAGCATTCCTACCCAGTGATCTCATGGTTGTCTTAAAATACATGTCCATAAAGGGGGAAAATCTTAAAATTTCCTAGAACCCTTTCATACCTTCTTGGTTTAGTACTATTTGTCAAATGTCAAAAACTGGTAAGTTTCATGCATGCTACTATCTACAGCAGGAAGGTTCTTAAAAAAACCATTATACACAAATAAATGCCCTCCCCTGCAAAAAATAAATAAACAATAACCACGGAGATGCCATCTCACAAAATCAATTGACAATTACATTGTTCTTTCAAAATTCTCTGCACTGGAAAACTGTAATAAGTAGGTACTCTCATACACTGCCTCTGGAAATATAAACTGGTATGACTTTATTAGAAAGTAATTTGGCAACAAGTAGCAAAAGTTTTAAAACTTGAAAACTCCTAAAATCAATAATTTACTGCTAAGGAAGTACTTTAAGGAAGCATGAATAATGGCAACTAATATAAAACTATAGAAACACTCTTGGTAGCATAAGAGCAAAAAAAAACCAAAACAAACAAACCCCAGAATCAAATTAAATGTCCAACTGGAGGGGATCAATTAAATGTATTTCAGGATATGAATGCAACAGTATACTATGCAATCATTAAAAATAATGGTGCAGATAAATATGTTGCTATGAAAAGATGTTCATTATTACGCTCAGCAGGACAAAAATGTTAGATGAAAGGTGACAGAATATGTTATATTGTTCCTTACACAACCTGATGGTAGTCCTTCTGGATGAATTTATAAACACCATCATCGGCATCATCCCTTTCTTATCAAGCAAGGGCTTGTCATCCACCTTAATCAGTGATCTCAACATAAACAGAAGTTATTTTCTTTATCACAAATAAGGGGTTCCACTTTCATAAAAGACACAGAAAGAATAAGTAGATAGAGAATAAGTAAATCTACAAATGCTTATGTTGTGTTTTGGCGTGTGTGTGTGTGTGTGTGTGTGTGTGTGTGTGTGTGTGTATGTAGGAGAATAGGTATGTAATGTACACATCCCCACCATTATCTTGGGGACTTTACAATTAAAGGATAGTTATTTTTGGCTAAAGATTTTAAAGCTATTTACCTGTACCATGTGCTTTCATCACAATGGAGAGACAGAAGCAGTCAGCTCCTTCCCAGCAGATCTTTTCACACGGACTTTGCTTGAGTAGAAAGGGCGGTGGTAGAAAACTCAACGTAAAATGCCTAGACCTGTAATTATAAAAACAATATTCCCACTGAGTGAGGCAGCTTGCCGTGGCCTCCATCCACATTAACTGAAGTCAGAGGAAGAAAGCACACTGCTATAATACCTCTCTCTCTCTCTCTCTCTCTCTCTCTCTCTCTCTCTCACACACACACACACACACACACACACACACATTTCCAAGGGTAACAGGGTTTCTGACCTTAGAGATGTCACCATCAAAACGAGCCTGTTCCTTCCCTTCCTTCCTCCCTGACGATTACAAAGCTTCAGAGAAATAAAAAATAGTTCTTCTCTAGGAAATTTCAGGAACATTACCGAAATTGATGCTCTCTAAGATTCCTTCTAGCCACAAAGTTAAGCCAATTCAGTACATGTATTCATTATAACAGCCTGACTTTCACTTTCAAAATGGTACATGCCTCTGTTGATGACTCAGGTGGAGCACATTGTTGATATTCAAGATCATCACTAACATTTATTGAACGCTTATTTTGTTCTTGGCACTGTGCTAATACTTTATACACATTACTCTATTCCATCACACTCTTATTAACAACAACAACAAAGAGAGAGCTAATAGATGTTGAAGCCAGGATTTGAGCTGTATTGTATTGTATCATTCACTGAGACCAATACTGTACCATCTCTCCAAAACTGACCTTGTTATCAACACTTCTGTATTCATCATAACAATGTTAAACATCATATCAATACCATGTTGTTTTCCCCCAGAGCTGAGACATCACCTAAGTCAGCATTGCTCTTTTTGGATTTGACTGTCCTTTAATTTTAATTCCCTAAGCCAAACTGAAATCAGTGTATTCATGTTACAATTAAGAATAAATTTATAGTTACTTTAGTGAATTAAAAATGTTGACTAATCTCATATCTGAGATTAGGGAAAAAAACATATCAGGTTTAAGGAAAAACCTAAAATCCAGGTCCTACCTAAATGGCTAAATTTTACTAGGAAGAAGGCAGATAATAAAATCAAGAGGTGTATGTGAATCCCTAATTTAAGATACAAAAATAAAGAGAAATTCCCATCCATTATCATATACTTGTATATCATAAACAAGATGTGTTTGTTTACCAATTTACAAAGTCCACATACATAAGTCTTAGAATCACTGCGGCACAAAATAGATAAGAGCACATTAAGATACCAACAGTTATTTATGGGGCATCTACTGACTCCCTTCTGTATGCCCATACACACGTAGGTATTGATGTGCACTATTCTGAGTGTGCGTCTGTGCCTCTGTGCATGCCACACCCTTTGATTAGCACAGCTCTCCACTGGGCACAGCTTCTCAACATGGCACGGCCCCTCAGGCCTGGGGGCGCATGTTCGCCTAGGCCTCACTGCTAAGACTTCTCCCAAAATCACCCACCTTCTTCACCAAATGACTGTGGACCATTTTCTCCTTCAGCTCTCAGCTCAGTGCTATTCTCCTAGGAGTCTTCCTGACCTCTCTGGCCAGGTCACTCCACATCCGATTACATGCTTTTCTACAATCATGTTCTGTGTTACACTGGTGACCTTTGTGATTTTACATTTTTGTTAGATTCTCTGATTAATGCACATTTCCCCACTACTAACTCAGCTCTTAGAAAGCAGGATGTGTGTGCTCTTATTCACCCTTTAATCCTCAATATTCAACACAATGCTTGGCACATTATAGGCACTCAATAAAAAATCTTTTAAATGAATAAATGGGAAAGGAATGGAGGGAGGAAGGGAGGGAAGAACAACCCTCATCATAATTTAATTAGTGTTTGTTGAATTAACCTGCTCATGGCTTTTTAACATAGAGTACACGGTCTGCACTCCTTTGAACAGCACGCCAGGCTCCTTGTGACCTGACCCCAGCCAGCCAGGCCACACCTCCAGCTGCACTGGACACTCGGCACCTCTGAACCACCGTAGCTCCTCCACCCCCCAGCCTTGCTCCCACTCACCTCCACTCACCTCCACACCCTGGTCTATTCTGTTCCCTCTGCACATCATCTCTTCACACTCAAACCCATTCTCCAAGACTCTGAGTGAGGGCTGCTTTTCTGCAAAGGCCTCTCAAATACCCCCTAGGAAGCTCAGGTCCTCTTCTGCCATTTATATACAACACTCTGAACTTATCCCTAGAAAAGCAATTATTATATTTTCTTGTACTTGTATCTCAAGCAAGTCCATCTCTCCCAATGCACTGTACGTCCCTGAAAGGCAAAGGAGGGGTGTTGCCTCATCAAACTATCGTCAGAGTTTTGGGTAGCAGCCTCGGACATAGATCAATGAATATGTGTTGAATAAACAAAAGAAGAATATATATATCATATGTATATGTTTCCTATGTGCAAAGTTCCACAGTTGACTATTTAAAATACACAGTACATTTTAATTAGTATTGAATGTTACGAAGCACAACATTATAAAGTGAGCTGCGAAATGGGAATGACACCCACCTCACAGAGTCATTGGGAAAATTAAACGATACATAATGAAAATGTTAGCACAGAGCCCAACATACCGTAAGTACCTATGAATATTAATTGTATGATTATTGTCATTGTCAACATCATCGTTAGAGCAACCACGTTGAATTTATAATTCATGCTTCAAATTTAACAGTTCTATTTGCCAAGTTTCCCTACTGAAATATTACTTAGCATGAGTATCTCTGTAAAGCCTTAAAATGGACAAAGAGGCACTCAGCAAACCAATGACAGAGGAGAGCCTTATTCACCACAGCTGAAGGAGAAATTATTGTTTCAGTAATCTTCCATAGATGTGTAGAGGTATAAAGCATTACCAGAGAAAATGTATTTGTTTAAAAAATTATAAAATCTAACTGATGGAAACACCAAATATCATCATTCAAGTGCCATAAATATTTACTTACTATAAACTCTCTTTTGTTGGAAAAAAACAAGATAGAGATACATATTCATTTATTTTAACTACTGGACAGAGTAATATAACATTTTAAGTAATATGTATTTGTCTAATTAATATGCTATAAAGTGTTTGAATTAATAGCAAACACATTTCACACATAGTCTATTAGATGTTATTCTGATTTAGATTTGCTGGAATTTAATGAAATGGACTTATGCAAAGAGGGAGAAAGGGGCAAGACAATCATGCAACAGTATTTTTTAGAAAAATAATGTAAGAATGAATTGTTTGCAAATGCTACTGGTTTGCAGAGGAGCAGAATGAACTGGCAGTAATTCATTCTACAAAGCAAACTTATAATTCAGTCCTATATTGCCCTTTTTAACACACTGAATGGATTTAAATAATAACTATAAAAGTATTTCATATACTGTGTGCTACTGAAATACAAGGCACGAGCATCACTGCATTTTGACATTTCTGTTTTCAATTCACCATTACCTCTCCGATAAGTGATAAAACCCAAAGCAAGTCAGATTTCTAACTGGAGCTTAACTGTGTTCTGAGAAGTACTAGAGTTATAGAGGGGAAATATTATAAAAATGCTAAATTCTTAACTTCTAATTGTTATAGCACTAGAATATTTCACTACTTCTAAACTGAATTGTAATTCTATTCATTGGCCACAACCATTGACCAGCAAATATATTGTTCTCTGCAACATAATTCAGGCAGAAAGGTGGGACAAATCTAGTCCCAAAGTCTTAATTTATTTAGATAACTTTACCTAAATTCACTAACGATCTCATTATCATGATATTTGTGTTTGTGTTGTGAAATCTTACAAATATGAGGCAAATTCCCCTTTATTTATGCTGATCCCTCAATCTGGGATGTCCTTCCTGCTCATTCAAACGTTACTCTTCCTTTAAGGCTCAGCTCAGCTGCCGTTTCCCCTGCAGCTTTCTCCCACGTGTATTCTACTTGTCCTGCTGTGCAATAATGTGTTTCCCTCTGCAGACTGTGAAAGACCTTAAGGTCACTTACCAGGTCTCTGGCTTTTCCATAACAGCCTACACGGTTCTTTGCACATAAAAGATTCTCAGTAAATATTGCTTCGATGTGTCAGTGAATACACACACTTTGATGCTCTTAAAACTAGGGTGAAAATGTCACTCTTAAAAGTAGGGTGAAAATGCCACTACTTATGATCTAAAGTTAAAGGTTAAAGTAAAAAAATATTTCCATTTTTAGTGAAATGAAACTCTTAGCATTTTCACTTCCAGATGCATCAGCATTACATAAAAGATGTTGAAACCATTTCAGAAAATAGACATGCTGTACATTTTCCTATCTGAGAATTAGTCTGAAAAATACCAGCTACACAGGGCCTCTGGATGTTCTCATGACAAACACTGAATTAGGCATCGACTTCACACACTCATTTCATGGAAATCTAGACCAAGACTTGACCTCCACAACACCAGCACGTCACACGTTATTCTATTTGGCTGCGTAAGAATAAGCTGATGGTTCCCGGGAGAGGTGAGTCCTTCCCTCCCAGTCCTGGCCGGCAATTCAGCGACAATGAATCTTAGCGGCAGAGGACTTCAGCACTCAAAGAAACACACACCAGTGCCAGATGACGTTTTCCACTTTTATTGTAATTCTCATTCCCACATGGACCAACTTCTCACATATCCGCTTTTCATTTTTTAAAACCAAACCTTTGAGCTTGTGACAACTTGCCTGGCTGAGTAACATACCACATCATCAAACACATGCCAAATCCTACCTCACTCAAAAGGCCGGAAAAGAACAGCGGGCAGAAAAAGAACAAGTTTCTCATCATAACCTATCCAAGCTGATTGTCCACATTCAAAACTGTTAGTCATGGGTGAGACAATAAATACGCATTTTCCAAGAGGTCACCAAGCCTTACTTCATGGTTCTCTCTTCTCCGTGCCCTATTATTTTCTAGGTACTCAGTGGGATTAGGAATACAGACGGCTTCTGTCTTCTCTCTCATCCCACACTGCAGCTGTCAGCCTCACCCTGTGTCCTCAGCCACACAAAGGACCCCCGGGATTTCCCAGTCAGCCCACACCT